CTTTACCACTTTACCATAGTTTTTTTTATATCTGTATTTATTTATTTCACAAAAAATGTTGCTGTGACAAGGGAATTTCCCTGTTGTAGGATTAATAAAGTAATACAATAGAAATAACAATAATAAAACTAATAATAATAATAATTAAATAAATAATAATAATTGTAAAAATGGCTTCATTTTCCAACCATATACTGGGTACCAGGCTGTAAACTTGTTCATTTCTGCTTTAAAGATGGGCATTTTAATATATTGGAGATTTACTTACTTTTGTAGCCAGGCTCAAGTGGCCATTAAATGAACTACAGTTTTTGTTAATTCAACATTGGCTTCATTTTACAACCATGTATGTTGCTGCAAGACTACAACCCATATTTACATTTAATGTTAGGTGGCAACCTCTAGTGGTAGTAATTGTGATGGGGGCAAAGGTGGAAGTCAAGTGATGTAGTTTAAAGAGCAAAAAGGTCTGCAATGTTGTGTCCTGTGTGAAACTCAAAGTCAACATTGACTTATTTTACTTACTTAGGTTACATAACAACTTATTTCAATCCAAACCATGAGCTTTTCTTAAACATTAGCAAGTATTTTTGGTGCCTATAATAAAAACTACAACCGTTTCACAATGTAAACTATGTTAAGATCATTATGGCCCTGAGTCATAATTAGTATTTGTGTGATTGAATGTTTTGTTATGCGAGTGTTGTGTGTATGTTAACTTTATTAACTTTTATTAAGTTTGTTGTGTGTGGCACCATGGCACTGCGCTGTCCATGCTTCTGAAATGGAGTGGAGGAGATAGCCAGACAGATAGAAAGACAGAACACACCACTTTGTTTGGTTTCTTAGCTTGTTTGCTTTTTGTGGTTGTGAACAGAACTCCATGATTCCATATTCCCTCTGATTATAGCAATCCACAGACAGAAGGAAAACAACATGAAGTGAGTGCACAGTCAGACAGAGAGAAAGAAAGGATTGTATATCTGGATTGTTCTTCTCCAACTCCAACAGATGAGCTACAGTAGCTCAAATCTTAAGTTTTTTTTATCGCATTTTACAGCCACTGTAGGTTCTCCTTCATGCTTGGAAGAGGAGTGTGAAGTGAGGAACTTTCAATCTGCAACTACACAGCTATTTGCCACCAAATCCTAACACACTGGACCTCTAATTCTTAACAAAACAAAAGTTACTCTTGGATGCACGGATGAATGGATGGACAAATAGGCAGTGTAGTTCACAATTTTCACAATGTTTGTGTGTGTGCATGTCTTACGACAAAACTGTTCAGTTCTCCAACTCTCCACTGTAGCTCCTGCTTCTTGACAAAAGGTGCTGAAAGCTGACAGACTGTTGCATAGGGCAGAGGCATGGCCTTGGTACATACACAAATCAAAAACACAGTCTCTGAGGAAGGGGGTGTGGTCCAGTTTACTGTGACACTGCCTGTATGGGCAGAGACAGAGAAACAGAGCAGAGAGAGAGAGGGCACAGTCTGTAGACACCATTTAATCAGTTTTAGGACTGAGCATTGATGGTCAATATACCTAACTTCATCTAGCTATTGTTTTTTAAAATGTATCACATGTTCATTATTTCTTATCAAGCAAATGTATATTGTTGTTTTCTAACCCAGGAGGAGGTTATATAATTAATTTAATCTGAATTCCAAAGGTAGAAATGAGACATGGTGTATTTTAATTAACTAGCCCATCGCCACCACAAAAATGGTCAACATCATCCATAGGTTTCTGAAGAGCTGTTGTGAATATCACCTGACACTTAAAGCGACCATTAATTATGCTTAACTTTAAACCATAATAATTTAAACGGGTGAGTTATATATACATTTGTGGCCCAAACAGTTGTCATGAACATGAACTAGGTACCAGGTTGTAAACTTGTAATTTCTTTTAATTCCTGCTTTAAAGATGGGCATTTTAATATGCCTGCATGGGGAGGAGGTTGGGGAGGATGGATGTTGTGTTCTGTGTGAAACTCAAAGTCAACATTGACTTATTTAACTTACTTAGGTTACATAACAACTTATTTCAACCCAAACCATGAGCTTTTTCTAAACATCAGCAAGTATTTTTGGTGCCTATAATACAAACTACAACCATTTCACAACATAAACTATGTGAAGATTGTTATGACCCTGAGTCATAATTAGTATTGAATGTTTTTGTTGTGCTGTTTTCCCTTCCTGCCTACGGGTGGTGCGACCTGTTCTGTGTTTTCTAACAATTCTTAAATTATTTTGTAGCTTTAATTAAGTTTGCAGTTTTACTATGACTACTTTTATTTAAATTTACAATTTTATTTTTCCTTTTTTTAAACTGCTTTAACAACTTATCAATCTTTTAATGTATCCCATGGCAACTGTGCAGAAGTACCCACCTAAACGGTCCAGACTTGTCAGCGATGATGCCACAGTAGCGCCCCTGTTGGTAATGCAGTAGCAGTGAAGGCTCACACTCAGGACATTTACCATTAGGACAGTCACTAGTGCAGCCAGGATCTCCCCCTGCCTGTGTTCAATGACATTGTGAAAATATGCAGAGGTTACCTGCTTAAAAAATAAATAACAATAATATAAATATGTTCTTTGTTATAACTGAGTTCATATATGTTCAACTGTACACACAAATTCCACAAATTCCCTTGTAATACATTACATATGACCTCGATGCGGCGTCTATGTATATATGTCTATGACTATTACGGTCTCAGCACAGTGATTTACCATGCCACCAGAGCGCCACCTAGTGGCGATTGTGACACACGTTTTTAGTGAGCGTGGAGGACCCATTGGCGCAGCGATCGTACCAAGTTTCGTTTTAGATCATCCAAACATTGCCAATGCGGGAATCATAAATTTGTTTCTATTTTAAATTAGCACCACCTTGCTTGCGATGGCCTGAAATTGTGCATGATGCCTAAGGAAGACATGGGGAACTATGGACCCAAGCTTGGTGTCAATCGGACATACCAATGTGGAAAAATGGTCCACTGCACAGGTTGTCCTGGCTGTGTCTGCAGCCGTGGTCCTTCTGTAGTCCTTCTTGACCCCCACAGCCAATATTACTAACATAGAGGGCCAGAGCACTAACAAATGCTTCTGATGAAGGTCTATGACTGAAATTGACCTTTTTCAGTTTAGTTATTCTGCATGACTTTATTCTCCTGCCTACCTGTTCACCCAGTAGGCACACATTATGTCTGATGTATTGAGCTGGAGAAAGAGCTGTATACTTAATGTATATGTGCATCACTGAGCCTGGGCTTGGATGGAGTATGTGTTTGTTTTGTGTTTTTAGACCGACAAAAAAGTATTTTCTCAACTATATACACACCTTCCAGCTGTGTCCAAAAGCATTTATGTTCTTAGCCTGGGTGCCATCAGATTTAAGTAAGTCATCAGCAGGTTTTCCATTGTAATTTCCACACAATCCTGATAAAGAGACACAGGCAACAACAAACCAACAGCAATCACAAATTAGATAAACAACTCACTTCACATCTTTTATGGAACCACTGTTAAAGGAATACTTAAACATTTGTAGAAATACACCTATTTGCTTTCTTTCCTCTCTGCATGCAAGTACAGATCTGGAATCAAGACATTGTTAGCCTTGGCATTTAAACTAGAGGCAGGAGAAGAAAAAAAGTAGAATGAAAAACAACAAAAAACATATCAACATTTCTAAAGCAGGATCAACATGTCTTTTTATTTTCCTGAATTTAATTCTTTTAATGTATATGTGAACGCAAACCAGAAACTCACATTTTTTCACAGGCTTGTAGCAGCTTAAAATGTCTGATTTCATGAACATTGCTTTCCTTATTGCATTGTTTTTAGTTATTATTAATAATAAAACCCTATTTTGAGACACAAGTTTCACCAATTGAGAGTCCAACCAAGTGTGAAATATGGTCACAATCTGAATTAAAGCTGAATGCATCATTGCCACACCACAGCCGCGCCACGGTGAGTCGCGATACCCCCGCCCAAGCCCTCATTGTCGGAAGCGAAGGGAGACCACTCTACGTCGTCACGCGTTTCAG